CGATTATTGAGGGCTATTTTTTTTAGCAAACTCTAAATGTTTAGAGAATTAAGGCGATGCATGATTTGTCACAAAGCTGTTTGGTTGTGCATCTATTCACCAGCCTGTATTTAAAGATTGTCTGATAACATCCTGTTCCTCTGTCAAGGCTGAAGACCAAGGAGGATGACAGGGCCTCTGTTGTTTGCTATGTCACTTGTTTAATTTAATCTTAAATTATGTATTTTTTGTAATCTTTGATTTTTTTTTCTTGTTTTCTTTATTTGTGCTTTTTTTGGAAGCTGCTTACAGAGACACACAACCAGTGATGCTCACATTCACACCTACTGTCTCCAATTATATTAACCCTAATCTGCATGTCTTTGGACTGTGGGAGGAAGCCGGATTAACTGGGGAAAACCCACACAGACAGATGGAAAACATACAAACTCCACAGAGAAAGACCTCAGCCTAACTGGGATTCAAACGTAGAACCATTTGTTTGCTGTGAGACAACAGTGCTAACCACTGCATCACTGTGCCATCCCTGGTGCTAAAAAAACAAGGTCATTATTAACACTGATCTAACACTGTTTTATGTTAAATTGTTACATCAACCAATCTCAGAACTCTGGAAAAACTGTCATCACTTTTAAATTACTCAAACAACAAACATCAATCTCTAGAAAACCAAACATTTCAAAAGGAATATTCACATGGCAAAAAAACACAGACAATAAAAGTGGTGGTTACAGAAACTGGCAGGTTTGTTTTATTGTGACTTGTGTTTATACAGGTACATTTAACACGGATACACACATACCATCTGCATGTCTAATCTCTCTCTCTTTAGGTGCAGTTTTTGGACAGACAGTCACATGCAGTGACTGACAGGACAGTGTGGTGGCTGCTAGTGCCGTTGGCACACAGGATGGGCACGCTGAGCGGCTCTGTCTCCACGGCAGCACAGCACACACACTCCTGCTCCACAGCGGCCCTCTCCAGGGAGTACATGGACTTGCTGCGACATTTGCCCTGATAGACGGACAGATGGACAGCAGCACAGGGAGAGAGAAAGGGTGGGATGGTGAGAGACAAGTGTTATGATTTCACTGAACTTTGCAGGTTTTTCCTCGAGGGAAAACCTATTAATCAGGTGTAAAAATATGTGTGTGCATGACTGAGTGTTAACTTATTACTCTGTGTTTGTGAGGACCACGTAGTGTTACTGACCTTGTGGAGTGAGGACATGTTTGAGTCCTCACGACTCCAGACTGCTTTTTATAGTTAACACTTGGATAGAGTAGGGGTTAGAATATTAGTAATGATGGTTTGTTTAGTGAAGGTGTGTGTGTTTCTGTCACAGGCTGCATTTTAGAAGTAAAGACCATAGAACAGTTCATTCTAACGTTATCTTTATTGTTTTATCATTTTCTCCACTGTTTTAGAATTTGTATGAAAAGTCTGATAGAATGGTCCATCAGACCGTAGAGGATGTGTTTGATTGGTTGTTAAGCGACACATACAATGAACCTGTAAGAAAAGCAGCTGTGTGTCCCTGTGCCCAGGTGAACTAACATCCTGTCGTTTCTTAACAACTTCCAAAGTCTCCCTCATTAAGTTCTTGTTGAACTGGAACTACTGCTCCTTCAGAAGACGTGCACAAATACAGATGAAATGAATGCAGTGACGGACACAAGAATCGCTCCGTTTTCAGATATGTATCTAATGCAAATTAAGCCATAGTATTCAGGAAATGAATGTAAGTCTATGTAATGGTGACCTGTGATAACATGTGTGCATGTGTTTGCTGTCTCTCACCTCACAGTAGTGCAGTTCTATCTGGTGCTCTGATTGGCAATCGTCCACTCTGATGTGGTTAAGAGTTCCCACTGTCCTCCGACACTCTGGCTCTTTACCTTTGCATATTCACACGCTTGTTAAAATCAGAGCATCCAGATTTGTCGCAACATTATCGTCTTGCAGAGGCCACAGCTCAACTTACACATCTCACAGCAGGTCGTTCCAATCTGGCTGACCTTCCCCTGAAAACAAACAGAGCAGCAGAGAGAGTTATTATTTGTGGCAGACACTCGGGTGTGGGAATACCGTGAGACGGACGGGGGGCGGTGTGTGTGGTCGTCGTACCCCCTGATCCAGACAGGCTTGGCGGTTAAAGGGGGGGCAGGTGGTCACTCTGGTCTCCTGGACAAGAGCTCCTTTACTGTTTACACCACAGGAATGAAGGCTGCAACCGTCCTCCTTGGTGGTGTTCACCTGGAGGGAGAGGTAATAGCATAGAACGGTATCGTACTATATCGTACTATACTGAGGTGTTCTATTCTATGTTGTACTGCATTATAG